ACATGCAATTTCTCAGACTTTTGAGCAACTTTGCAGCCTCATAGTGTTAATCATTTCCCTTTAAAACCAGTAAAACTTGAAGTGTCCAACTCAAATGTTGATTGAGCTGTTAATACACAGTCTTATGGGTCTCAGATTTAGTTTTCCTGCACTGGGAAATTAATAACAACAAGTTAGTTTAATCTCATTACAGTTAATTACATGGGCTGTTTCCCCAAGGGATGGAAGGAGCGAACATTAAATTAGTAATTCCCTCCTTTCTGTTATTTACTCTAGCAATTCACATACTCTAAAGGTTCATCTCAAGAGAAGAAAAGTGTAGTCATCCTTGCTTTCATCCATAAAAGAAAACATCAAGAGCGAGAGAGCTATAAAGAACTTTCTCTTTCTTTCCAAGGAGCACAGTATTGATTTTTCTAAGTCAGGGGGCTTTTTCCTTACTGTAATTAATTTTAAGTTAGCATATCTACAGATCAATGTGTTCAAGAGGAAGCAAGCTGAGATTCTGCTTCTCTCCCCTATTGTTTTTTGCGCTGTGCTATACATTGATTTTTCTTGTTTTTTTTTTCTGTCATATGATGGAAGGTATTTGAGATTTTGAGAGAATTGTCTAGTGTTTTAGAACACCCAAGTTAGTTGTTCTGTAATGAGTTAAGTGAGGAGAGGACCTCGACTTCATTAGAGACCACTGGGCTCCGTGAAGTAACAAAAATATTGTTGTGTGATTTCTAGTTCATTTAGCTTCCTGCTCCTGGTGCAGTAGCCCTTAAGATGTTATAAGCACAAGATGTTAAGTGTAAGGGCTTTGCCCCTTGCATAGCAAACCTTCCCCAGTAACTTTCATAGGTTTAAATGGATGATTTGGTTTTTTTTTATTGATATATAGACAAAGGTAAATCTTCCTCTGTTTAGAAAAGTCAATTGTTCTCACTTCTAACACTTTTAGCATCTTTCCTGATGCCCTTTTGTTTCAGTACACTCAATCTGCATCAGTTTTCCAGCAACATATCTGTAATCTTCCCTTCAGGTGACTGTGTTTCAGTGGATTAAGCCCTTCATAGGTTAAAGAGGTGCACATGTGCACATACACACTTGGGCATACCTTAAGACCAGCCTAGATCCATACCCTGGCTGCAGGCAGGTGTGTTTTCTCAGGCTAGCAAACACGATTGTGCACTTGCCAATGTGACCGTGACGCGCTGAAAACCCTAATTGGAGCCATTTTAAAGATTGGAGGCGTAGAGGGCTGTGTAACTTGTGCTTACTCCTATGAAGAAATCAATTTGCAAGACACAAAATAAGTAAGAAGCTTTTTTATTTTATTTTTTACATGCAGTGTTTGAATTGGCTCTGGGATTTGGATTTTTCCCTTTAGGAGATAACTATCTTGCTGTACATAGAAGGTACTACTGTTCTGCTTTACTTGATTTAATTCTGTAAATGCGGCTCTTATTCATTTTAAGTTGAGTGATTATGAATTCCAGCTACAAAATATATATTTTTTTAACTATTTCAAATTGAGTGACATTTATATTGCAAACTCGGTCTCCCTCCTACCTTCAGTCAATTCTAGAGAGGATTAGTTGTAAAACATAGACAATTCAGTTAATCTTCTTCTATTGTTTTTTTTTCCTAATTGATATTGAAATGTGTGTAATGTAAATGCCTTACTCTTACAAATTTTATTTAATAATTCATTTTACTTCTGCCCGTGCATTTCATAACTTGATTCTTTGGGTTGTTGCTTATTGCTGAAAGCTCAAGTATTTCAAATATTGATTTTAATTTATAATAGAGTTGAGTTTGAATTTTAAACTCAGAATATGAATTTGCATTTAGTTGAAAGTACAGTCTCATAATTAGAGGTTTTTCCTCTTGACTAGGTACAGTCAAAGGAATGTAACTTAATTTCTGTTACCTAACCCATTTTTGCCCTTAATATAGCTGTGTCAGTGAGCAAAATGTTACAAGTTCTCCTAAACCTTATTTAAAAGTTAAATGCAGTGTTTTTAGATTAAGTTCATGATCAGAATGAGTAACCTCATTGATCTAGTCTCCAGTCCTTTACAATATACATTAATCTATTTGTTTTGCAGTGAAGGGGATCACTGATTCACGTTCTGTGCCTACAGTGTAGAAACCAGCAGGTAGCCGGTGATTTTTTTTTTTTTCTTTCCTTTCTTATCTCTTTGTTAGTGTTCATTTGGCTTTGCAAAGCCAGCTCTAAATTCAGCTTAATTTCTATATTAAATTTTCTATGAGTGCTTCAATGGAAAACTGTATGCAGCTTTTTCCATGTATGTTGTAAACAGTTCCTTACACCTGACCATAGCTAATGAGCAGCTCCTTTTCCATTACTGTGGAATCAGGATCAGTGTTTCAAACATCAGTATGTCTCCTCAGAACATTACCACAGTTTATGGGGAGTCAGTCTTAGGAAATACATTGTAGTCCAGGTGAGATATTTCATCCAAGTAACTGTTAAAGTGACAATCCCTGATGTGAGTAGCCAAGAATGCAGGTATTAGTCATGAATATTTTGAATTAGATCAGCAGGCAAATTATCCCAGCAGTTCATAATACCAGATAGAAACCAGCTCCATTGCACAGCTTAAAAAAAACAAACTGAGAAATGAGAAGTGCTTAGGCATGTATCTGGCTAAGTGATTATGTGGAACTAGTACAATTCCGCCTCCCCGGCGCACAAGCACTTTGTTATGGCAATTTACATTTCAGTTGCACTTTGAGATCTATCAGTGTGCAGAATTGGACACTTTGTCAGGTTAGTGACAAAACATTCCTTTTCTCACTGTAAATAAAGCTTAAAAATGCTAGAATAAGTTTTATGCAGTTATATTAACATTCTGTACTAGTGGGAGATGCAGAAGAATAGTACTTTGCCTGCAGTGCAACAACAAATGTAATTTAGTAGTTTAGTCTTTAAAGAGATCTGTGCTCTCTTCCTTTATGGGGAAGAATGGTTGGCATGGCGAGTGGTACTGAAGACTGCACCAGATAATTTTAGTCCCAGAGACAGTAACACGAGTGAGGGATCTTTAGTTCATGCTACAGCTAAATAATCAGGTCCTTGAAAACTCTTTGTGAAGACGGAATGTTTGATGAAGGGCCAGAACTTTCTTATAAAAATGCCTCTCCAAAATACTTGGTGGAAATACAAATGACAGATTGTCCCGCTTGCCTCTCCTTCCCCTCTGAAGTTTCCATGCTGAGACTTCAGCTCTGCTGCTTTTTAGAGTGATTAAGGAACAAAAAATCCCGCTGGGTATTGGGGCCAGGTAACACATCCCAGTGATACATATATGAATTTATTATGTTTACATGGTATATATGAGCTCTATATATAAACATATATACATACACATATATAGAAAAATACTGATAAACATGCTAGTAATACTCACACAAACCATACTGATAATGAAGTCTGCCTCTTACTGAGGACAAGAGCAATCTAAGCCTTAAGGCTGCTCTAAACCTCCATGAAGGCAGAATGAAATGTGCAGTATGAATAGCTCATAAAAATGTCAAACATGAAGGGGGAGAGAATCAAAGCAGAAAGTTTAGCAAAGGCAAATTTCGGAGAACTTCCTTTAAATAAATGTGTTTTTGTAAACATTTTAAACCGTGTAAACATTTTAAACATTTCATTCTCTGGTTGTCTCCCTCTGATGTTGTGAAGTTACTTCTACAAATATTTTTCTTTGCGGGGAGAAAAAAGCATTTCCATGATAGCAAGATTGGTATTTTAAAATTTATTTTTACATAAAACTAAGGTTGTTCATGAATTTTGCTTTACAATTGAATTAGAAAACAATCTAATTGTTTCTATTATTAATCTGCAATAAGAAACTTCTGTTATTTGCTTGGTTTGCAGTGGCCTTTCTCATGTGTTCACGTTGTATAAAATCCTGCAATGTAATTAAAGCAATTACTGTAATTGTACACTTAAAAGCAGTGCATGGGAACATCAGGAACATGATGATTGTCTCAATAGAGAATTTTAATAGTGCTTTTTCGCCTTTATTTTAGGACTTCTTTTTCAGTACTAATTTCCTAGTTATTTGTTTTATCAAGCAGAGGAAGGCAGCATCTAAGTTGTGCCATGATTCGTACTATATAAAATTAATTACCTCTGATTTTGGAAGCTCAAGTTGCTTCATATGTGACTATTTAGGATTACAGGAACACATACCCCTCTCCATTTACATGCATAGCCTCCATTAGTACTAATATGAAGGGGAAATTATATGTGCATTTCTTGACAAAACGATTAAAACAACAAAGTTTAATGCCCTTAGAATTACTGTAGGCATTAAAGTTTTATAGGTAGTATCTGTGCCCTCAGTATCCCTTTAAAAAGCAGTAAGGAACCTCACCAAGCCTGTGTTTTTTTTCCCTTTGATACTGACTCTCTTGATCAAAGCTTATGAAAATTAGGGAGGGGGCTGCTTGTTTTTTAAATATAAGCAGAACAGAATAAATATTTATTGCCAGCTTAAAAGAAACTTGGTGTGTGACAGTGGTTACAAGTATCTTGCACTGTCAGGTGCTGAATGAAATGAAGACGTAGTAACCAATACTCAAAACAGGTAGTTTATTTTTGATGCTAGTGTGAAGAAAGGTCAGGTGCTGAATGAAATGAAGACGTAATAACCAATACTCAAAACAGTTTATTTTTGATGCTAGTGTGAACAAAACACTTATGTATGTCATTAATCTTCAATGTAAGCTGAAAATTTAGAGCAGTGGATCCATTAGTATTACCATTTAGAAACTATTTTCAGATGCCAAGCTATAGAGCATAGTTTCTTACTAGTAAATCACTTGCAAACTTTCCATTGCTCACAAAACTTCCAAACA